TTACAAAAATTTGAACTATTTCCTTTTTTATATAATAAATTTCCATTTTTGGTAGGGTACTGTATATTTCAAAAAAAAGAACCTTTCTGTATATATATAGGATATTCTTTTTTATTAATATCATAATGTAAAAATTGTAAACATAAGATAATTTTCAATTTAATCATGACAAATGTTCACCCATATTTCATATAGAGTTACCAATTTAATGGATATGACTAGAATTAGAATTATATTTAGAAGCAAAAGGTATGTATAGATCTAGAATGACTTTCTGCATCATAACTAAAAAGTTTATTATGATAATATTATCTGAAAAAATTTTAACATTATAAAAACTAAGTGCAAAACATCTAATAAAAATAAAATAAAAATAAATTTGTTTAGCTTAGAATTTCTAAATCTTGATATCTTGCTATACATTGTTCAAGAGTATTATTTTGTTGCTGTGTTTTTATTGTAAAAGGTTTAACACCTTTCCAATTATTCATTAATTTTCAAATAATTCTTCATTGGGACTTTTAACCTTACAAGTAAAACTTATTGATTTCAATGTTCTTGGCACTGTTCGAAGCAATGATTGTAAAATTTGATTGCAACTGATTTTTATGGTATTACTATCATTTCTAAATTCAATACTTTCTAATTTACTGCAATTGTTAAATATTTCTATTAACTCCTTGGTCTACTCCATTTCTATAATATATTGATAATTTTGATGATATTGTGCATTGCATCCCCAAAGATACTGGAGTAATTGTTTTTCCATTGGGCTTGATAAATTTATTAAAGATTTTAATTGAATCAAATTGGGCTGCAATACTGTTGAAACCTTATACAACTGCTCCAGCTAAGGTGTCCAAAAGGTAGAGTAGTATTTATTTAAGATGCTTTTCAGCAATGATTCAGAAATGATTTATTGACTAAGGATCAGTTTATTAATTGTAAAAGTGTTATGTGTCTTTATTAGCGATAATAATTTAGGTATAAGGTTATTATTATATTATTGTTATTGTATCATGAACATGATGATTCTCACTTGGTCTAAAACCAAGCCTTTTTATACCTCTTGAGGTATTACAAATAACATGACTTCTACTCTATTTTATCCAATAAAATATGCTTGCTAATCCTATTTTCTGTATTACTAGCTTACTAATTCATAATTACTAATGCTACTAAATATTTTGATTGACTGAGCAAAACAAATAATTTGATTAATAATTCAAAGTAAATAAGTTAAAAATAGAAATGATGTCATTCTCCCGTGACTTCCGCAGTAAGTTGGGTTCGATTGATCGACAAGGTCGGAACTTCTTCAGGCCTCGTTTACAATCTCACAATATATAAAATGATAGATATTTATAATACATTGCTATACATGTAAAAAGAAAGAATAAAAGAACCTGGATCAGGGAATAAATGTAAATAAAAATAGTTATTTATCTTTAATCTATTTTGGTTGATGATGATTATTATTATTCATAGAAACTTGATTCTAATACTTATATTTCAAAAAAGATTAATTATTAATCATAAAAGATTTCATTTCATATCATTTCCCTTCAAGGGATTTCTTTTTTTGTTGGGTATTAGTATATCTTCATTCTGCTCTTTTCTTAACTTTTAATTCTAAGGAACTAACAATGAACATTATAAAATTGTTAATCACATTACATTTGTAATACAAATGGTCACTTTGTCTGGTTTTGTTGCAGCATGCCCCCATATGACCAATTTGTAATACCCTCTAGAATGGATTTGGTGTTTCACTAGGGTTAAGGTTTGCAATAAATGTTCCTTGAAGTCCTTTTGCTGCATTTACTATATATCTTCCTCACTCTGGATATCATATCCGATGCATACATATCATTTTATTGCATGCTTCAACTAAAATTATCAAATTCAATATATAGGTAAAAAAATTTTTTTAATAAAATAAACATATTCGTGCATGATGGGAAATCAACAGTAGTATTTGCTTCACCAAGTTCCATGATATTATTTCTATATTATACCATTTACTCCCATTGACTAATCATCATCTATTTATTATGATAATATGCACCATTATCAGACCATAAAAAGGATGATGTTGTGAACCAAGCATCTTGTATTGGATCAGATGACCAATTATCCAAAACTTCAAGATTCAATGAAGTAGAATCATCAGAATTTCTTGTATATACTAGTAAGGTATGCAAAGTATATCCTTTTTTTTCAAAAAAATTCTGATTTCATCTCTTGTGCTGATTGAGATAAAATCTTCATTTTGTAGTCAACTATGATAACAACATATCCTTATCTAAACAAAGTAATGCAGCTTTAGATTGTGCATTGAGATATGTTTTCCTGGCTTAGTGATCCCAGTGTTCAATTATTTGGCTTTTTTCATTTGGAGTAAATTGCAGAAAATAAGATCCATTTGACTAAAATTTTTCACAACTAATAGGATGATGTTCATTGCAATCACCAAATGCAAAATTAAACAATGTCCAATACAGTTATCATGATGCACACTACCAAGAACATACATAATCAATTCATTTCCATATTCTCAATTCAAATGATGTTGTGCTTTTTCAAGTTGAGCAATTCATTCTAATAATGAATAATCAAATTCAAAAATATTTTTTAGAAATTATTTGAACATCAATTCACTAACCTGGATATCTTTTCTATTAATTTTTTCCTGAACAGGTGATTTCATCTCTTCAAAAACACCAAAAACATATTCATTGCATGTCAAACACAAGCTACCAAGATATTCACAATATACAAATCTGCTATCTTCTAATCTTCAGTTAGTAGATATTCTATACAACTTTCAATTCTGTACATTAATTCTTTTTTGTTCCATACATTCTCTATTTTTTAATTTTTGTATGGAATTTGTGTATTCTGAAAAGTTGATTGGTGGTAGGGGCAGTCTGCACACTCCTCAATTTCATACACTATCCTTTTTTGTTCTGTACAGAACATGATTTACTACAGAGGCACAGATGTGCAGAATATGGAACCTGTATATACTCTCTAATCTTGTCATAAAAGCTATCCTTTTCATACCATCTGGGTATAATTCAAAAAAATGTTGCCATGCCATAATGATTATTTATTATTTTTAAATAAATTACATGTAGGCCACTTGCTTCATTTACTTTATATGAACTTGGTGTTGCATTATTTTTATCAAGTAAAAATGTCATAAATTGATCCAGCGATTCTTTTGATAGTTTTACTTTAGTGATTGTAGGCTTGCTTGATACAGTGCAACCAGAACCACTGGTTTTAACATACTAGGGTAACATCCTGTGTATCATTTTTCCATCCTGAGCCCATTTTAAAAGTTACTGCAATAAAAATTTGCCAGAATGTCCAGCTCACTGTTATTTATAACTAATGTTATAACTAAGGTTGCTATTTGATAATTCTTTTTTTAACTGTATATATCATGCATAACATTGAGTATAGGCAAAGAAATTCATTTTTACAAACATTTATCTCAAGTTCTAGCTGACAGATTTAAAAGAAGCATTTTTTACTATGATGTTTGGAAACATTAATTTTGGCCAATCATATGTTTAATATGACAAAAAAAACTCTGAACCACAAACATAGTGAATATTACCTCATTTGGGGCGTGAACTGCAAAAAAGGCCGAATTTTTATAAAACATGTTTTTGAGAAAAAGGGGTACAAAATTGCAGATCTTCCTAAGATTTAATATGTCATATAAAACAATTTTCTTGAATATGTCATGATTTTATTATGCAAGTGAGCATAATGGACACTCATTTTATCACTTTGTGACAAAATCGACTGTTGATCTTTTTTATGTTGTGAAACATGTGATT